CCCGCCAGGGGCTTTCCCTGCACAAGCGGCGGAACAAGTTTGGGAACTACTGCTCTAGAGCAGTGAGGAGATGATGATTTTATGGAGCTTATGTTTTTTTGTTTACCAAGTTAAAGAACAAAGTATAGACTAGGCAGTCTTTATGCACTAGAGCTTTTTTAGACCCTTGTTGACAGCATGGTGAGGAAATTCCCAAAACTAGTGGCATAGATTTTTAGTGGGAGTTTGGATTAAACTTTGGTAGTTTTTTAATAATGTATTATCCATTGATTTATCTATTTTCTGCCGTTAAATGGAGATTGAGAAATAGAAGCAACTGAACCAATAGTGGAAAACCTAATGGGCAGGAGATGAAAACAGTGGCCCCTGAAACTGTTATCACATCATTATTGAAATGGAGACAGTCTTTCATTTTGACTGGATCAATACTCTCTCTTAATTGATTTGTCAACAATCCTGGGTAATCAAGAATTTGCTACTCTCCTTTTATTGATGTATCTATTGTAGGAAGGTCCACCAGTGTGATGGAAAAGGGAATGTTAATGGATATCACTTACTGTTTAGTCTATTGGGGAGATGGAGCATTATGGAATGTGGAGAGACCCTGATTCAGCAGTCAGTGTGGGTAGTCAGGGTTATTCTGAAATCTGAGATGGGAAATGACTCCCCATAGAACAGTGTGTGTCTCTCTCTTTCTATTCTCTTGGGCATAAGTGCAATATTGCAGTGGTGTGGAATTTAAGGGAGTTAAACTAACCTTGAAATAGCTTCCAGGGTATATGGTCCTTATCAGATGCATGGGAATATTTACCCAACACATAAGGAGATGCCCTAAAACTGTTATGTATCGTCCCAAAAATGTACCTTACTAAAAAGTGCAAGTATTAACTTCAGAGTTATGCTTTGAATACTCTGCTATAGCACAGTAACATCTGAGGCTAGGTCTACACTACAGCGGGGGGTCGATCTAAGATACGCAACTTCAGCTACGTGAATAGCGTAGCTGAAGTGGCGTATTTTAGGTCGACTTACCTGGCTGTGAGGACGGCGGCAAGTCGACCGCTGCCGCACCGCCGTCGACTCCGCTACCGCCTCTTGCCGCGGTGGATTTCCGGAGTCGACGGTAGAGCCATCAGGGATCGATTTTTATCGCGTCTTCACTAGATGCGGTAAGTCGATCCCCGATAGACCGATTTCACTACCCGCCGGATTGGCGGGTAGCAGACGTGCCCTGAGAATGTTAGTACTACTTAGCATGTCTATAGCTCACATCATCTAGAGAGCCCAGTATAGTCAAGCAGAGGCCCATACTTACTTGGAGTGAGGGCAAGTGAGTAGGTGGATGCAGCTGATAAAAGTTCTCTTAATTGCTTTAAGTGCTGCAGCCCCAGGAAAAGGACATGATGAGAGTGAGAGCTTGAGGGAGTAATTGATTCACTGTAGAGTTTCTGTATCTGATTACTTTATAGCCATTCAGAATCATCCTGGCAGCAAGACAGAGGGATCTGCAACTCCTGCAGCAATCTAATAAATCAGATGCGTCTTAGCAGGTTTTCTCATTAGGGCAGTAACAAGAAATGCTATGGGGTAAAAACTGTGAGAGAAGAGCACAAAGATCTTAGTAACTATAATTATGACTCTCTCTTCTGCACACAGCTCAGCATTGAATTCTCAAATTGCTTTTTGAGTGTGGCCAACTTTCGCACTGAATGTAAAGCAAGTCAGGTTTTCTTGTGTATTGTTTGTAATGTCCATAGCTGATAGAGGGGGCTCCTCTTGATATTTATTTAAATATCCATTGTACATCTATCTTCATTTAAAAACAAAAATGAAAACTTGAGCTGTTCATAACCTTGTTGATTTGAATGTGTTAAGAGTATTTATTTCTCTCTCCCCCGCTAGGCTCCTCAGTGGTTAGAAAGTGATTCTTGTCAGAAATGTGAACAGCCTTTCTTCTGGAATATAAAGCAGATGTGGGACACAAAGACACTAGGGTTGAGACAGGTGAGGATGTGGTTGTAAATCACTCATGGTGGTGCTGTTTGTTGTGTAGAGAATTTGGTGTCAGTGTTCTATCTTTATACCCAACCCCTTCTTCCGCACTTCTAAACTTCAACTCCAATCCATTTTTGAAAAGGAAAAAATGAGTAGAAAGACCTAATATAAAGCAGTAGAGGTCAGTGGTGTCTTCATTGCCAGCAAAGTATTGTGAATAAGGAAATCTCAACTTGGTGCTGAGAAGTTACCAAGTACAGTGAAGAAAAGCATTAAATTGGGTTGTCCTGTGTGGGGATAATGGGGTTAAAAGAAAGTAAAACCTGTCTTGACCACAAGTGTGCATGTAAGAAAGAGCTACAGTTAGTAAACACTGAATGCACGAAATGGCCTAAGAGCTTATACTGGCAAATTACTACCAAAATGTTAGCCTTAAATTGAGCACGTTGCGGTGTGCTGAAGCACTAATGGCCTTGCCCTCCTTCAGTTATGCCAGAGTGTGAATCTCTTGGAAATTTTGAAAGGAACTTTCACCTCTTAAATGTTCCAGGGGAAATCCACTCGCCCGCGCGCGCGCACACACACACACACACACACACACACCCCCCTCTTGATGATCGTGAAGGCAAGAGTATAATGAACATCTTTCATTTGTAAGGTACTTGCCCTCAGATCTGTTGGAGAAAAGAGATGTAGAGTATATGGGTAAAATCCGGGCCCTATTGGAAGTCAATGGCAAAATTCCCTGGGGCTGGCATATAACCCAGGGATTCTTGGTCCTTGGTTACAACTGGTTCTGAAAGGTAACTATCATAGGAAGTTACATAATTGTTTTTGGTCATCCCTCCTGTTGATTTGGGAGTTCTCAAGTAACACTTCATGTCCTGAAATGTCCATCTTATTTTAATTCTCCTGTGAAGCATCACTGCAGGAAATGTGGCCAAGCAGTGTGTGGCAAGTGCAGCACTAAGCGGTCCAGCTACCCAATCATGGGCTTTGAGTTCCAGGTCCGTGTCTGTGACTCTTGCTTTGAGTCAATCAAAGATGAAGAGTGAGTATGCTTAAAGATCTGATGTTGTTCCATCACTGACTTTGTACACTAAAGGCTGAAACTTCTGGAGGAACCTAACTGGTGGCTTTAAGTTCTCTGTATATGATTGGTTACAACTCTGGCAGATGTGGCTCATCTGTATGTAATCAGCCTTTTATTAAATGCCAGAAACTACATACCATGTTTATAATCGATGTGTAAATAAGCAAATCTCACTTATGTATCCGATACCTTCAAGTTCTAATATGCAGCCTTCTCACTTTGAAAGAATATACATAAGGTACTAGCATGGAAAAATTATTAACCTCTATCTTTCACAAGGCAGCGAAGAACATTGATGACTCAGTCAGGTTAACTTGCTTGTATTACATTGGTGGTTCTTTCGGGGCTGCTTTGCACACATTTTGAAGGGAGAAGAGGGACAGCAGGCACTCGCTTAATCTAGTAACCAATACAGCTGGATGAAAAGTTGACTGACTTGTTGGAAAGTAGACTTTACAGCTGTTAAATGTTAGAAGCAAAGAACTGTATTCTTCTCTACCATATTCCTACTTTCCTTTGTGCTGTGTTGAGGGACTTCCACAAATCAAGTGGGAGTCCAGGTAAGCACATGTCACTCCTGTAATTAGTATACTCTGGGCAGAGTTTACTGATTATTTCATTGTCATGTAGGTAGGCAATGTTGTCGGGTTTGACGTACTAGCTTTTCAGAAATTTCCCTGTAAATGCTTTTTGTATTGCTGCAATGACACCATCTGGTTTTAATGTCTAATAGATGGTTTTTATTTAAACTGTTTTCTTTTGCTAGTCGTACTTCCCTGGCAACTTTTCATGAAGGAAAACACAACATTTCCCATATGTCTATGGACATTTCTAGGGGACTAATGGTGACCTGTGGGAGTGATCGGATTGTGAAGGTAGGTTTACTCTTCTCTACAGGTTACATAACTCACTCTTTTACTTTGGGTTTTACGATATTAAATAGTTTATGCACTCAGTCAGTTAAGGTGACACTTTCTTTTGCCTTTGCTAGTGGTTGCAAACACTTAATCAAGCTGGCAACTTGATGCTTCGTGGACAGCAAGAGTTAAGCCTGAGTCAAAAACTTAGTAGTATTTAATTATTGTAGTGAAGGACAAAGACTTTCTAATAATCAATCCCACTACTGTCATTCAGCCTATATGGTGAATATGCAGGAAATCCCCATGAATTAAAAGAACTGTTTGTATAGTTTGAGTAGCAGAGTCTGTAAAGCACCATACATTAAGGAGATATGGTCCCTGCTCCCAAGGAGTCTGAAATCAAAGGGTTCATTGAGCTTCAATCCCATTGAGTTTCAATGGGGAACTATTCATGTCATTGAGGTTTGAAGGACTTTCCCTACATTATGATACTGTAGTTCATTTGTTTTGCACATGGTCAAAGTATGAAGTTTCTATAGATAACTGGGCTCTTCAGACCCTAAGAGGGATGGATCAGAGTTCTCTATAATCACAGTGATTTCCTAGAGATCCTCCAGTCGTCGTGAAACTGTTTTCAGTCTCATACTAATCTGATTAAGACATGAAATTAACTGCTATTTAGAGTCTGAGGCTTCCAAATGAGGAACTTAATCTCAGCTAGCTCTTGCTGATAGCATACATTCAGCAAAGGGGTTTGTCAGCACATGCCCAAGGACTTGCATTTTAAAATGTTTTGCTTTAATGCCCATTGTGTCACTCCATTTGAGATGACTGTAGAGGAAATTAAATATGTCTGGATGCAGTTTTGGGATTTAATTGTGAAACAGTGACATCTTCAGGCTCACAAATATCAGATCAAGTCTTTACTTCTCAAATAGAGTATTTCAGCACTGCACCCTGAGAAATCTGTATGTGTTCAATTGCCATGATGCAAATATTATATTAGTGTTGCCAGCTTGATATTCCGCCTTCCATCTGACACTACCTAACTTCCTACTGTCTGATACCTGTCTTCATTTCCTCCTGTTCCCATGTCTCACTATGCTTTGTCTCATCACTACTGTGGCTGGCTGGGCAGGTGAGAGGATCTTGACTGTGCCAGTATGTTTGCCTAGTGCCTGCAGGTGTATCCTGCAGTGTCGGAAAGCATGGAACACTCCTGTAACACACATTAGACAAAGCAAGTGGAGTGCCACAAGCAGCAGTTCGGAGCACTGCTCATATAACCCTTGGTCACATGTCCTATCTCTGGCTCTACTGCACTGATACTCAATTTCCTGAAGTCATAAAATCTTTTGATCATATGCTATACTGTGGTTACACTTCCTGCAGATACTAGTAATGAAACAGCCCAGTAACTTTTATACTCTTCCACAGACAGGCTTATGAAACAAAACAATTTTGGCTTTGGAAACCCTCTTCATTAATGTTCTATAGCTCTGTAACAACGTGCTGTGCAAGGTAGAATCCTTTCTTCAAACATAGTTTGGCTATGTTGTTGGTTCACAAGGCTAGTATAATTTTTAGAAGGTGACCAAGCTGACAATAAACAGCGCTATTTCAGTATCCTGTTGAATGCTGATTCTTTTAGGGCATATTGTTACACATGTAGCCAAAAGAATATTAGAGTAGGTCTTATACTCTTGATTTTAATACTATATGATTTGCTGAGTTGTTCCCCACATCTTGTTTTTTCTTATAGATATGGGATATGACGCCAGTAGTTGGTTGCAGCCTTGCAACCGGCTTCTCTTCACGCTGACCTAGGACCTGACAGGTTCATGCACCTTATGTACAGCAACATGCACCGAATGAATGAAATCCCTCCTAGGAATATCGTCACAAAAGCACTGATTGCTGGATCCTTTTTCTCTTGCTCTTCCAGGATGGACAGTTGCCTTAATAGAGCAAAGCTCTTCTATAGGCTTCAATGGGAATCACCTTGATGCAGAAATGCAATTTCCCAGCCTGTTGATGTAACATAAAATGGCTTACCTGCAACATGACACTGCGATAAAAGGATCTGTCATAACTTGGTTTACATGTAGTGTTAACAATGTGCTTTCTCTGCTGAAATATCTTGTATAGTAGCTAAAGGATTATCAGAGTAAAATGAGTTTAGTTTTTTCGAATTTGTGCAAATAGTAAATACTTACTGTCCCTTCCAGTAAGCAGTCCCCCATTGAACTCTTTGCCTGGGTGCAGCTGTTTAGGCTGCCTCCAAAAGGAGTATTGGTTATAACTTTGGAAGAAGGAAAGACTTATTTTTTTAAGCAATGTTTGAATTAAGGGGCAGGTGTTCCCTCTCTCTTGAAGTGGCAGTAAGAGTAAATGCTTGACATAAGAGATCCTGATCTACTGGCTTTCTTGGAGTGTCGTCTGCAAGTTCAGTTATTGGTAAAACTACTTTAAAATGATCTGTTCTGTTCAAATAGCTTCCGAGTGTCTGTAAATAATCCCAGGCTTTTAGACATGCTGAAGCTATATTTATTCCCTCTTCTTGGCTAACATATAACTAGTGAACTTTTGTAGCTGTTATTTAGTAGATAAGCTGCTCATTCTCAATAGTGAAGGCAGCACACGATATGTCACAAATCACACATGCTCATACAGTATGTTTACAGTGCTGTTAAAATGGGGGGCTATGCAAGCCTGTTGTCTTAGCTATAATCGCTAAAATAAAAAGCCCCTCCTACATAACTTTAATGAACTAAATTTTTATGTGGAAAAGCTTAGTTCCCCATTTATCATGAGGAAACTATATATAGCTATAGCATTAACTTAATTACCACCTTGTCTTTGTTTTGAAGAAAAATTAATATTAAACATTTCTAAAATTCTCTTCTGAAGCAATAACTATGAAGTTACAGAATATTTCTTGGGAATAGTCTGCCTGAGTGCAGATGAGGGCTGTTAATCTTAAATGCTATGTGCAGTGGTGGTCCTTGCCGTTATAAGCTGAGTGAGGAGGTCTGACGTTTTCGTTGATTGCACGATTCCAGCTGGCATTTACAGTGAACTTTTAGGGAAATATTGCCATGTACGTTGGTCTGTCAAGTGCATGAATTACCTACGTTCCATAAATATTAGGATATATGTAATGCCATAAGGTTGTCATACAAGAGCTTATCAAACAGTTTGAAAATGAAATTCATTTAACTTTATCGTGATGTGCCATGGAGTCGCAAAGGAGATGGGAGTTCATTGGATTTTCATAAAAACTGATGTTATAGTGTATTATGTAGTGAGGGAAGAAGTATGTGCAGGTCAGCTCTTTTTGCTGCCATTGGAGGTGATATGTTCATTCTTGCAGAAAAATTGAGGTATTGGAAAGAACTGCAATGTTAGCCTTGCAGCAACAACCAAGTGGTGCTGTTGACACTACTGAATTAAAATCATTGTCATATACTTTTGATATGCATTTATAGCCCGTTATAGCTAGTGTATGCTAATATCATGGGATAGTAATGCGTCATGATCTTATTCAGTTTGCATTTAAAAAACAATAAGATGGTAGATTTCCATGCCACTAAATACCATCTCTGGTATATTCTGGATTCACATATTTTGGAACTGGCTTTATGACTAACCACTTTATGGGCCCTCTCCAGAAATATTTTGCTAAAGGATATTTTTTTTAGCTTACTAATTCTTCACACTTCTCATAGCGTCCCTCAGAAACTCGCGTCATGCTAGTGTTTGATTGTATTATCCTCTCAAATTTGAAATCTGAATGAGTAAATGCTAATTCAGAGCTTTTGGCAAGTCTGTATTAGAAAAAGAAATACATTTGTTCAATGATCTGAAACTCTATTGAAAAGAATATGTTGAATGTTTTACATTTGAAGAGTTACATTGATTAGTTCGGTTCCTTGCTACACGATGGAAGGTTTTAGCGTGAAAACAGAAGTCTTTCCAAAACTATCGTATGAAATATCATTTGTGCCAGAAAGGACCTGAAGTTAGGTAATGAGCTCATGTAAATCAGGAACGAAACTGACATTTAGGAGAGAGGAATGAAAACACTGGAAGAGAAAATAAGAATCATCCCCCCCCCCCCCGCCACACAACTCTTTTGTTCCAATCACTTGGTTTAATAGTAAAGATTAACAATAAGAGATCTGTGAAAACATTCTTCTCTGTGGTTCTCTCTACCCAAAAAAATCAAGATGGGTTATATATTTACAATCCTTTTAATCAATACCTTATTTAGATTACACTGCAGCAAAAGTAAAACTTGGGGAGGTTTGGAGCCACATTGTAAGTTATGTGCCTCAAAGATTTGGGGGTGGGGACGCACACCACCTATTAACATGAACAGGAGCTATGCACCTGCCTTGGGAAATTAAACTATGTAGATTTGATAATGAATTGTATGATTAAATGCTAGTTGATTTAATTTCATTCTGTCCCCTACGTCAGTCTGTGCTACTGGGATAATCCCTTTCCAGCAAATAAAGAGTTAGCACCCACGAGCATCAACTTCTTTGGATGTTCTCTTGCAAAACAAATTGGCAATTTGGCTATCTAGCACCTCTCCCATATTTAGCATTTAACTTTTCCCTTGCCTGTGAATAATTCTCCAATCTGGCAATCACATTAAGGTTTTACCACTAGATAATCTATAATCTGCTACATAGCTTTTAAATTTAACAAATATATTTTCTAAAACAAATATGACATTAACGTAGTTATAGCATCACTTAGATATAACAAGGTGATTATGGCTGGCAAAACATCAGTTGGTCACAAAAATAAACCTTGAGATTTAACAAACCAGTCATGCACTGAAGGATATATTGCTTGTGTAAAAAAACCAAACATATTTTTGAAGAAACATACTGTTTTGTGCAATTTAAAATACAATAACTATTCCAGTGAGTTCAAATTTGCAATTGTTTAGAAGACTTATTTTGAAGCATTACCAATTTCTTTTGTATGGCCTTTTTTCATTGGAGGAGCAAAGGGTACCATTTAATGTATTTTAAGTCCTTTACCAGCTGTGTTTCTGCAAAGTACTGTACCCCACAGAGTTTAGAGATGCTAGATAAATCTTGCTCCTGCTTCTGATTTTTAACTTTGAATACACGTATAATAAAATTTCTTGATAGTCACTTAATTTATTCTGATGACCCATCTTCAATTTGTCTTCATTGTTGCAGGAAATATTGGTAAATAAACTACACACCGTGTTCTTATGCTTGTGAACAGGTGGAGTAAAGCAGGATCCAGGCTTTTGGCTGGAAGGTATCCTTTAGACCCACAGTTGGAATCAGATGATTTGTAAAGGTGCCCCATACCCAGAGACTAGCGCACATTGGCAGGATGGAGCCCGTAGCACAGGGGTCTCAAACGCGGCCCGTGGGGTTATTTTCTGTGGCCCGCGAGCTCCTCGTGGCCCCCCCACCCTCCCCCAGTGTTTACCTAGAGCGACTCTGGCCCGACGCGCACTGGGGGCAGGGCAGGCTCCCTGCCCTGCCCCTGCGCCACTCCGGGAAGCGGACGGAACCTGGGGAAGGAGGGACGCAGGGGTGTGTGGCTGTTGCTTCAAGCACCGCCCCCAGCAGCTCCCATTGGCCGCGAATGGGGAACCACGGCCAATGGGAACTGCTGGGGGCGGTGCCTGAAGCAACAGCTACACACCCCTGCGCCCCTCCTTTCCCAGGTTCCGTCCACTTCCGGAGCGGCCCGGAGGCAGGCAGGCAGGGAGCCTGCCCTGCCCCCCGACCCCTCCTGCAGCTGCCCTGAGCCCCCTGCCGCACCCCTCCTGCACCCCACACCCCAATTCCCTGCCCTGAGCCCCCGCCACACCCCTGGGGGCAGGGAGGGGGCAGAGTTGGGGTGGGGATTTCAGGGAAGGGGTTGGAATGGGGGCAGGGAAAGGGTGGGAAGAGGTGGGGCAGGGCCTCATGGAAGGGGTGGAGTGGGGGTGGAGTCAAGGGCAGCGCCCGGGGGGGGGGGGGATGTGTCAGTAAATGCAGCCCTTGGGCCAATGTACTAGTCCTCATGTGGCCCTCATGGTCATTTGAGTTTGAGACCCCTGCCGTAATAACACCACTGAGCAGCTGCTAATCAACTCTAGCCTTGCTGGCCAGAAGCAGCTGCACTGCAGAGTGGAGCGTTTTGAGGAGAACGCAGACTTCTCCCTCCCTACCCGCTCACTTCTATTGTCCAGTTATGCCAGAAGAGGATATCTCTCCTTGCCCCTAATGGAGTTGCTTCTCCTACATCATGCCATGCTGGGAGATCTTGCCTATTGATTGGCTTACTGTCAAGAAAAGAGCCTTTCCAAAGGTTGGAGGGAAATGTGCATCCCTCTTGGGTCAAGTATATGGGGGAGGGGCGAGCACTGCACTTCCATTATGTAAAATAATTGGAAATCTATTTGTAAGCAGTGTCAAACCTGTCAGATTTTAAACTCCCTTGATTTGAAATGCATAGAACAGTGGTCAACCTCTTCCATAGCAGGATTCCCCTTCCTTTTAGCAGTATGGGTCACAATCCCCTGACAAGTTTTTTTTCATGACCCCAGATTGAGAATTCTCTCCCCACAGCTTTGTGTACTGAAGCACTTGCAAGAACGGGTAGTGTTAAGGCTTGAGGCTTCTTTTGTAGTTAAAATGTAGTTGAGCTCTCTACTCTGTTGGTATTCGGTGCATAAGATGCAATCAGACTAAGCCTGAGGACTCTACATTTTTATTTTATACTGTATTGTTCTTCCTGTTGGTTCTGAGAAGAATCTTGTTAACCATGCAATATAGTACCTCTAATGTTTCAACAACAAGACTGTTACATAAAATGACCAGTTTAGCTTACGATTTCTATTACTCTCTCCCCACCCCCTCCGAAAACAACATTGATAGGTCCTGCAGCAGCTCTGGGCTGTATGTAAAAATGTCTTTGCTCTTTTTCAGTTCAATAGGGGGAAAAATTGGCTGAGAACAGGTCAGTTCCCACCTCAACCTTCCTGTAAATTAAGTTTTAGCTAACATGATCTTATTTAATGTAACCTCTGCAGGCTCTGTCATAAGACAAGTCTGTGTGTCTTGTTTGTAAATGTGATCGTACTTTGTATAGTACCTTGATCTGGTATTTCAGTGCTAGGCTTTCAGGTTCCACCCTCACCATATATTATTGCAAAACATATTTAGTACTTTGGTGTGTGAAATAAACCATCAGGCATAGCTTTAAAAGAAATGCACAGACTTAGAATACCTACACTCACCTCAAACAGGATCCTGAATTACAGCAACTTTCCCTTAGTGCACTAGATGGGTTATGTTCTGTCATATCCACAACCAACTTTAGAAGAGTTCTTCAAAAAAATTTATTTTTATGACTGATGGCTTAAAAAAATGGTAGATTCAGACTGGCTTAGTTAATCATGAGAAGAATTTTCATGTATCTGAACTCTACAGAAAACAGCAAATTACTGCCAACTTATACTAATGACTATAGTAGCACTGCCCTGAAAACAATGATGAAATGCCTGCTCTTTTATTAAGTCTGTCCTCTGAGGCTTTCTCCTAGATGTGTTAGGGGAATATCAGCTGCAACAATCAATCCTAGTGAGCCTTTCGTAGGACCTGTACTGAAGGAGGCTTTATAACTGCACATATACTAGTAGTTCAGCTGACTAACAGGGGGAAGCCCACAAGTGGTTTGGCATGGGCTGATCCCTACCAGGACCTGGGTGTGCAAACTCATGTTTTTCATTCAAGTTCATCTGCAAGTAGCTGCTTGAAAAGTGTGTACACAGGTATCTACACAAAATCCCAGAGAAGGTGGAGTTGAAGCCCCTCTGACGATCTGGCCCTAAATCTCATTTTTTATGGAGAACATTGAACAATAAGGTGACACTTATTTTTAGGAAACATCCTATATTGCCCTGAATATTCTTTTGAATACCTCCATTGATTTGCGCTCCTCCCAGCACATCACTGGATCAGGATCCTAGTTCGCAGCAGCTAAGAGATGAAACTGAAGCCACTTTTCCCCTCTGAAATGTCCTAGACTACAGAATATAACCTCCAACTGTAGTCCTTTTGCCTTATTCATGCTGCTGTGTATTGAACCTTTATGTTTAAGGAAAAGAGAGAGCCAGGAATGGAACCTAGATCTCTTAAATCCCTGGCCCGTGCCCTATCCCCTGCACTACCCACCTCGTTAAATGAAGTGCTCAAGGTATAGCTATACTGCAGTAAAACACCTGTGGCAGCTGACTCAGACTTGCAGGGCTTGTGCCCAAGCCCCAGTCAGTTGATGCAGGCCAGCTGCAGGTGTTTTATCACAGGGCAGACATACCCTAAGTGACTCTAAGGCTAGGTCTACACTACCCGCCTGAATCGGTGGGTAGAAATCGATCTCCTGGGGATCGAATTATCCCGTCTCGTCGGGATGCGACAATCGATCCCTGAATCGACACTCTTACTCCACCAGCGGAGGTGGGAGTAAGCGCCGTCGACTGGGAGCCGCGGAGGTTGATTTTGCCGCCGTCCTCACAGCGGGGTAAGTCGGCTCCGATACGTCGAATTCAGCTACGCTATTCGCGTAGCTGAATTTGCGTATCTTAAATCGACCCCCCACTCCCCCTGTAGTGAAGACCTGCCCTAAAATCTGCCTTTCTCTCTAAAAGGCCCTATATTAAGCAGAAGCTGTGCTCTCCATCTGAATTTCCTTTAGTCTTTCATGCATGTAGTCAGCATGGACTTTCTATATTTCTACACCCCCACATTTTTTACCAGCTTTTATCACATCTGAATTCACACAGAAAAGTAGAGCCAGACTGTGATTTACACTCCATGTGATTGTATTGATTTCAGTGGGTTTGTAAATGGACAATTTAATCCATTGCATCATACACCGGAGAGATAGCATGCGTTCCCTGTAACTAGCTGTTACAACTTTCTTGTTAAGTTCTGTCGGGCAATTTTTGTTTTCCAACCTGCCAGTACTCAAGGACTGTCAATCATGCTTTCTGGAAAAGAGAGCAGTTTCACTGCATCTGTATGTATCCAATGCAAAAAATAAAAATTGCATTGATTGCAAAATTTC